TTTAGCATATCTTTGTTAATCAAGATTTCATCATAATACGCTTTATTTGGATTTCAGATTACTTGATCTAATCATTGAGAATTATCTTCTTCATATTTTGGAAGATCATCTGTAAAAGGATTAACTAATCGAGATGTATAAAATTGAAATAGCTTGTGGATTGGTATTTATTTGGTAATTTTTAATGGATGAAAAATTTGCTTTTCTATATATATTCTTTTGCTTTCTTGTATTTGCATATCAAAATGATATTTTCCTGAATATACCTTTTCCCTCCCGAAGTCAATTACCCGAATACTAATTTCTTGAACTGGACATTTTCCTGGAATATAAAATTACCGAATTCTTATTTCACGAGTTCCAATTTCCTGAAATCCTACTATTTCCTGAATCCAGAATCCCAATATCCCGAATCCAATATTCTAAATCCTAATATCCTGAATGGACAATTTCTGAAACATATAACAATAATTTGTATTTTTTTTCTAAATTTTATTACATAATTGTTTATAAATATTACATCATAATTCAATATATCTATCTATTCAAGGAGATCAGATGACGATGATATAATTAAAAAAATTTTAAAGGTACCGTAACATTTATTGGAAATTGAAGTTAACTATTACTAGACATTTGTTAATACTTAATCTCGCAATATACATAGGAAAATTACTAACAAAACATTTTATAAGATATTCTAAAATATAATTTTACATATTGATAATTACTATCTATAATTATACCGAAATTTCTAAATTTAATAATTATCATTATCGTGCTCCGCTGTATGATGTTGATGATTTGTAATTTAATTATTTTTTATGCGTAAGTTTAATAATTACAATAAACTATATTTAAGCTATAAACAATACATATGTTATAATTATTAATTATGGCTATTAGGATTATTATTGAAAATAATAACAGAATTGATAAAAACTTTATCAGCTGTTAATTTCGAAACTAATTCTTCCAAATTTTGACTTTTATTTTCTTGAATTTCATTTAAATCTTTTAATGGCCTTCTTGTAACTTTAATATTACTGTTTGCCGAATTAATAACTTCACGATTATCTAGAAAAAGTTCAATTTTGTTAAATTGATTATCAAAAAATAGAATAAAATTTTAGAATATTACCATTAAGCAATGATTTTGCAACAACGAAATTGTCTGTTGATAAAGTTGATTGTTCCATTGATTCTTCTATAGAAGAAAATTAGAATGCAGGTCATTTATTAATGATTAAAAATTTCAAATTTTTACCTGATCGAATATTATTTTTATTAAAACCAAATGCTTCAACAAGGTTAAAAGCATTATTTCGTTGAATTTCAGTTTCTGGACGCTCATATCTAGCAAGCCCTTGCTCAGACTTATGTCGTGTACTTGCCATACATTCAGAATTTGAAAATCCTCGTCGCTTTAATATTTGTACTAGCG